CGCGCCACCTGGCGTGTTCAGGATACGATCATTGTCGGCTTCATCAACAGCGGCACGAGCATCTACGCCGGATTCTGTACGTTTGCGATCCTCGGCTTCATGGCCGAGTCCCAGGGCAAAGACGTCAGCGATGTCGTCACGTCAGGTAAGCAGGATAGAGATCAGTGTGTGCGCGCGCGTGCGTGCGTGCGTGCGTGCGTGTGTGTGCGTGCGTGCATGCGTGCGCGTGTGAGTGCGTGTGTGTGTGTGAGTGTAAGCGTGCATGCATTTATGATTGTGTGTGTGCGTGCGTGTGTTCGTGTATGAGTGTGTGCGCGCGTGCGTGTGTTCGTGTATGAGTGTAAGCGTGTGTGAGCGCGAGTGTGCGGTGCGCACATGTGTATATGTATATAGTTCGTACATAGAAAAGTGTGTGAGTGCGTGCGTACGTGTGGGCGCGCAACGTGTGCGTGCATACACACGCGCGTGCGTGCGCATATAAGTGTGTGCGTTCGCGAGTGTGTGCGTTCGCGAGTGTGCGTACGTGTGATATTCATCATTGTAGTGACTTGCTATAAACAGCATGGTGCGACTGTAATTTGTTATCCGTTGCTTTGCTATTGGTTGCCCAACATTGAAGATCGATATTTATATTCATTGTAGAATGCATGGGAGAGAAGAACTGCAGAAGCTTCTCTAGTAAGCACGGTAAATGCCATCAAGTAATTAACTGATCATCCTATTCGCACAGGTCCAGGACTGGTGTTCATTGTCTACCCAGAGGTCGTATCACAACTACCGATGCCACAAATCTGGGCCGCTCTTTTTTTGGTAATGTTCGGCCTGATAGGATTGGATAGCGAATACTGTATGGTGCAAGGTTCGTACAGTCGCACTACGCAATACAAACATGATCGATTGATCGCTGGTAGGACCAGCCCCATGGTATTTCTGATAATGATAATTATGTATTTATTGAGTATTCATTTCTCATCATTCACCACCGGTGTTATCTACAATTGTGTTTACAATAATTATTGTTATTGTTATGTATTTATTATGTATTTATTTCTCATTATTAATCTCCCCAGTGTTATCAGGGAGGAGGGGATGATGACAATTATGTATTCATTTTGTATTTATTGTGTATTCATTTGTCATCATTTACCCCTGGTGTTATCTACAATTGTGATTGTTATTGTTATGTATTTGTTGTGTATTTATTGTTTACCCCTGCAGTGTTTTTATATCTATACGCAGGCGTCATATCGGCCATCATCGACATGTTTCCCAAGCAGCTGATTCCGAATCGTAAGCTGTTCGTGTTCTGCACGTGCGTGATCTATATGCTGTGCGCAATGCCAATGCTCACGGACGGAGGCATGTACCTCTTCCAACTGTTCGACGCGTTCTCAGCCTCCGGCATCACGCTCATCTTCGTCGTGTTCTGCGAGACGATGGCCATCGCGTGGATATACGGTGAGAGGGGGAGAGGGGGAGAGGGGAGAGGGGGCAGGGGGAAGAAGAGAGGGGGAGAGGGAGAGGGGGAGGGGAAGAAGAGAGGGGGAGA